GAGGAACACAAGATGTAGCACATAACAAGAGCTGAGCAGTGTTTTGTACACACTTGTGCACCCAAAATACATTCACACTTTTAAAATTATATCTGGAACTCCATTGTATCTGGGAGAAATTGATAGGTGGGGCTTGAACTGTGAAAGTAACACTGCCCTCTAGTGACACTGGCCTGACGGAATTTGAGAGCTTGTAGTGGCGGGTAAGGGTCAAACTGCAGGGACAGCTGGCAAGGCAGATGACCGGAACATTCGCTCCATTTCAGTGAATATTTGAGATGATGGATGCTTATGGAGTTCAGGGATTAACTGGCTAGATACGTATTAATGAATACAATTTAGCTACTAGAATATTACCCATGTAGTAATTTTTATAGTAGGTTTTGTATGCAATTGTGCCGTTTGAAAATGGATTTGTTTCTGTTTTCTTCACTCTTCCGCTGGGAACCCAGTAACAAAATCTTGTTCTTGTTTTAAAGAACTAAGTACATTAAGGACCCAGCATGAAAGGAAATAGATTTTGGGTACATTTCCTATTGGCATTTCCACCATCATAAGGCAGAAGTAGAATGTCGTAGTAAACTCGCTTTCCCAAGGGGACATTTAAAGCCTCCTTGAATTAAATTACTGTGTTATTTAATGTAAACACAATAATTAAACACTTCTAGGTGTACAATGAAAAGTTAGAAAATGATGAAGCAAATGAATTTTCTTTAAAACCCCGAACCCCAAAGGATATATAATTTATTTATCTAAAATCCTGAACTTTTTTGACAGGCTTTAGCTCATATATTTTAAATGAACTTACTGTCTTGATATATTACATTTTCATAGTAAAACTGTCATCTAAAATTCTCTGAGCTAAAATTTTACCATATGCACATGCCAGATCAAAAGAAGCAACAATTATTTTATTTCTCTGGAGGTCTAGATAAACAACAAAACTCATACCTCTCAAATGATAATAACTTAATGATTGAGGTGAGAAAATTGTATTTTTCACTTTTATTAAATAGCCCAGAGAGGATTATATGTATTTGTCCACTTACTAGTATATTCTTTGAATTGTATCCCTAAAGTGCTCTAACTCATATTGCAGAAATAGCTTGGCTGAATATATTACTTTTTAAATCTTTCAGTGACAATTATTACTTTCTTCACAAACACTAGTTATTAGCCTGTACCCCCTCCAGGGGCAATATTTCATATGGTGACAATAAATACTGCGTGACAGAGTTGATAATTTTCCTATTGTTAAGTTGGATCTCTAATGGATACTAATTCAAAAGAAATGCATCTGTGTTTCACATATTGCTAGTCAGTGTGCTTGAAACAGTCATTTTGTGCCTCTTTCAGGACAAATGTACAGATATGATGCTACATTTTGATTTTTCTGATATTCATATTGCTGTGGCTTGTGTCTAGAGGTTCTCCCAAAGCCTCATGCAGTCATAGGTGGGGCTTTGTCAGAGGCAGCTGGATCTAAAGTGCGTGACACTGGGGTTGATTCAAGGCACAATGCTAAGCTCAAAGACACTAGGATTAAGAGTGTGAGTGCTGCTGTGCAGCCTGGAGAAGACACAAGGGATGGAAAGCGCTCGCTTGGTCCTGTCTTGCTTTGCTACCTTCTGCCCACCGTGAACTGTTTCTTCTCTGCAATGCCCATCTGCCCAGCTGATTAAGGACTGAAACCTCCACACAGTGTTAGGTAGATAAAATTTTCCCCCTTTAATTTTGGGTGTTGAGTATTTTATCTCAGCAACTTGAGAAGTTACTAAGAAACGTATAAAGAATGTGGGTATTGCTAGACAATAGCAGATAAAAATCTAGTAGGAGTTTGATTAAAATTAGTTGTTAGAATTATTATATCAATACAAAAGAGGACAGAACCTTTAAAAGATACGCAGTGTAGTTATGATGAACTTGCATGATGTAGAGATGATCTGGGTGTAGAATTCAGTAATGATCTGGATAGAGTCTCTCCTGTTATCACTGTCTAGCATTTACTGTGTTTGTGTTATATGGTATTCACTGAAGTAAGTACTTTACACAATAATCTTCTTATTTCTTCTAAGTGAACAGAATCTAATTACTGTTCACCCTCAGTTCCCAACATGGCCTGTTGATTTAAGTAAGATGCTCATTTATGTTTTCATATGTACTTTTTAATGTTCCTCCTTGTTTATGTTTTTACTACATTTTACATTGACTGTGTACCCTTCCACTGCACTATATTCTCATTTGTATTAATTTGTTTGTAGGGTATTTTATTTTTCTATGCTTTCATCTTTGTTATTTTATTTTTTCTATTTTGGGCAAATCTTAATGCTATTTTGTATCTTTTATCTTATCTTTGTCTTTTTTTTTTCTGTACTGAGGATCAAACCAGGGCCTCAAGCACACAAGGCAGGCACTCTATCACTGAACTACGCTGCGAGCTCGGTGTTCATAATACAAGTTCATCAGCTTTAAAATTGCTAGTTTATTTTTTTTTTATTTTTTTTTTTTGCAGTATGGCAGATTGAACCTAGGATTCTTGTGTGCTCTGCAGATGTTGCTAGATTTTTCAAATTATTGAAGTAATGGATTTTAAATTGTGTGTTGTCACCCACGTTTAGACATCATGTTGTCTCCCTAGTGTAAGAACACAAAAGAGTAAGTGGAACCCAAATGTACAGTAGATGTTGGGAAGGAAAAGAAATTGCTCAAAAGAGGAAACAACTGGGATAAGAGAAAGGAGAAAAGGAAAGAAATAAGGAAGGGAAAAAATATACATATATATATATATACACGTGTGTGTGTACAGAAGGATGCTGAGATAACTATACTGCTGATGTCTAATGTTTTATTGAAAGGAACAGCTAATGCTTTATTTTTAGTTTTTTTTGACCAATTTTGCATCCTTATATCTGGTAATCTAAACAACTAATTTGAAGACAATGAAATGCAACATAACAACCATTGTTGAATTCCTGTCATCTTGTTTGATGAAACTCTGTATCATTTATAATTTTTTTGTTTTTATTTTTTATTTTCTTTCATGGTTTGATTAATCTTGTATTCTTACATCTGGTAATCTGACCCACTTTGATGAAGATACAAATATATAATGTAACAACCACTGTTAATCCCTATCATTCTGTTTTAACATATGTTGATTTAATTGTTGGAGAAAATGATCGATGTGATACCTATATTTTGAAATGCATTGGTAGTAGTTTTGTGTCTCATTCTTTAGAAAACTTTTAACTTGGTTCTAGTCAGCTAATAAAAGGCATGGTTAGATAGCACATTAAAAAGACTTGTCTGAATTCAAAGTTTTATCTTTTATAATTTACTGCAGAATCAAAGTACCCAGTCCATCCTGGTGGTGTGGATAAGGTTTTGATTATGTGATCTGACATTTCTGATGATGCCTCAATGAAGTTTGAGCTCTGTGTCAGTGTATTGTTTTAGTACTGCTGCCTTAACAAATTACAGCACACATAGTACCGCCTGGTGGAATGACTTCCCGCGGTTGCCAGAGGGGGTTTAATGGGCTAATAAGTACACAGTAGCAGGCAGTAGTATGGGGTATGAGACCAGATCTGTGTATATTTTCCAATATTTTTGAATTCTACTCTGTAGTATTGTTCATTTCCTTGAACATGAAGGAGTGCTTTAAATTAACTCTGATGAAATGGAAATGGTGCTAAAAAACTGGTACATACCATGTCCAAGACACACATATGTATCTGAGTTTTCTTAAGTATCACTTAAGGTAGGTCATAAAGAATGTGGGTATTTTTCTTGAATATGAAGGAATGCTTTAAATTAACTGCGATAAAATGGAAATGGTGCTAAAAAACTGATACATACCATGTCCAAGACACACATATGTATCTGAGTTTTCTTAAATATCACTTAAGGTAGGTCATTTGTGACGACATCCACCAACCTAAGAGACACTGTGCTTAGTAAAACAAGACACAGCGGAAATACCACGTAATGTTATTCGTGCTTTTGAAGTAAAGAGTGAGTTTCTAGAAGTAGAGCAGGATGATGGTGATGAGAGACTAGGGACGGTGATGGGGAAGGGGAGGTGTTATTTGAAGGATACAAATTTTCAATTAGAAGGAATCAGTTATACTGACTTACTGTATGATATGGTGAATATAGTTAATGATAATGATGTTTTGAAATAGTAAAAAGAATGGATTTTAAATGTCTTCACTAAAAGGAAATGATGTGTTTGAAATGAGACATATCTTCATTAGCCCAGTTTGGTCATTCTGTAATGTACGTGTGCATGGAGACACCACATGACCCTCTGTAAATATGGACTGTAATCACTTTTCAATTACAAATTAAATAAACCTTTAAAAAAGACAGTTGGGTAGAGTGGTAAAAGACATTACAATTTGTAAAGTAAGGAAGTAATGAGAGTGTTTCTGGCAGTGGGACCGTTCCTGCTTTCAAGTCAGGGAAGAGCTCAGGAGGAGCAGTGCTTAACTGAAACCTGACAGATCAGAGTCAGAAATGAGGAGCATGGTGACAGATGGTGGTGTGCAGGGGAATGGGTTGTGTGGTTGCTGAGGTCATTGCAGAGAAAGAGAACAGAAACGGAAATGCTTCCCTTCAAACTCTTGTGACCTGACCTGTGAATAAAGGGTCCAGAGCTGCGTGGGTGTGGAGGAGGTACAGAAATACAGTACTGAGACTTTCTGGGGTTCCTAAAAGCTGGGACAGAAATAGGTCTTGAGTTGAAAGAATGTATTTAGGTGACTATAACACTAGTGAAAAGGAAAGGATAGCTAAGTGTTATCGACATTCACAGCAGAAAGAAACCAGTTTTTTAAAGGCGCTTCTTGGTGAAAGGAGGTGAAAGGTTACTTAAGACTCACGAAGGTGCTGGCATTTGCCATGATCCCTAAGGAGGAAAGGGAGAGAGCTGACGCACACACATCACCGTGCTTTGTGTTTGTCCTTCACCGTGTTCTGACTCTTGCTTGTTTGTTCAGCTAGGATTGTGTCTAAGCAGAGCCTCTGCAGCTGTCCTTAACCTCAACTGCAGCCTTATCCTTTTACCCATGTGCCGAACACTTCTGGCGTTTCTTCGAGGATCTCAGAAGGTAAGAAAAAACATTCTAGTCATAAATTTCAACAGGAAAACCTACTGTAACAGTCGCATGTTAGCTTGGCTTGGGTTTTATGGTCTGACTTCTGTAGCCATATCTTTAAGGATGATGGTAAAGGTCCTGCTGTCAAGATGATCATTGGTCTCTTCTGCAAAATTAATTGCAGGGGATTATAGAAATCTTATATTGAGGCACTGTGCCTAGCACCTCATGTTCACCACCATGAGTCTTTACATGGATTCTGCACTTGGTTTTGTTTCTGCTCTGGCTTATATCTAAAAGTTCCTAAAAAATCTCATGTTGCCGGGTGCAGTGGTGAACGCCTGCAAGCCCAGCACTTGGGAGGCTGAGGCAGGCGGATCGCTGTGAGATTGAGGCCAGCCTGGCTACAAAGTGAGTTGAAGGCCAGCCTCAACTGATTAGTGAAACCTCGTCTCAAAAAGAAAAATCTCCTGTGCTCAGATGTGGGGTGATTGGATCATGGGTGCCACAGTCGTCAGTGGATGGATCCACTGTGAGTTCACTGCTGAATGTGCTGCTCGGAGGTGGGGCCTGATGGGAAGAGGCGGGCTGCTGGCCGTGTGACCCGCTGTGAGACAAGCCCCTCTCCTCTGCCACACCCTGTACCAGGAGCTTTCTATCTTGTAGCCAGCTGGCCATGGACTGAATCTTCTGAAACTCTGAGGCAAAACCTCTTGTTCCCTCATTTACGGGTGTCAGGTATTTTGTCCCAGAAACAGGAAAGATGACTTTTACATTTCTATTTACATATCAAGAAGCTGAGATAAAGGGCGTAAATGGCTTAATCAAGATCATGAGACTACTGACTGTTGACACTAGACTGAAAATCCCAATACCAAGTTCTTATTACTATACCATGGCTGTATTTTTTTTTTTTTTATGTTAAAGAGACCCCCAAAAAACCACAAAAGAAAATTTTCAAAACAAGATGATGGGAAATTAATAATGGTTGTTGTATTGCATATTGTTATCTTCAAAGTAGTTGCTCAGATTACCAGATACAGGCATGCAAAACTGATCAAACAATATAAACATTGCTCCTCTCAGTGAACTAAGAGAAATTAGTAGTACACTTGTCTTAGCGATCCTGTGTGTGTGTATATTTTGTTTGTTTTTTGTTTTTATTTTCCCTTCCATGTTTTCTCCTTTCCCCCATTCTAGTTGTTCTTTCCTTTTGAGCAGTTTCTTTCCCTTTCACTATATCTATTGTACCTTTTGGATTTTATTTCTTACACTAGGGAGACAATACGATGTCTACACATGTGAGTCTAATTTACTTCAATTATGAGTATGGTCTCTAGTTGCATCTCTTTACCTATAAAAGCCTCAAGTTAATCTTTCTTTATAGCTGAGTAGTACTCCTTTATATAAAAATACCACATCTTTTTTATCCACTCCTCAGTTGATAGACAGTTGTGTTGTTTCCAGGATTCAGCTATGACAAATTGTGCTGCTATAAACATGTATCACTGTGGTATGATGTTTTCAGTTCTTCTGGAAAAATACCCAGAAGGTAAATACCTGGGTCAAATGGGACTTCTAATCCTAGTTTTTTGAGGAATCTGCACATTGCATTTTCATTTAGATAAATTCCATGAGCAAAGTAGAGTCTTACAGCCTTTGAGCAGTACATGCAATGATGGATAGTGTCACAGCTTGCTCAGTTAAGCACCGCACACCCACTCTGACCTTGAAAAACGTCTTGATTAGGGTTGTAAAGCGGCAACTATAAGAAAACAGAAAATATATTTAACAGTCATTCTGTTAAATTAGCTAAAATTCTTTTCTGTCTCTATTCTTGTGAATGTGTCAGTGTGTGTGTGTATGTGTGTGTGCATGCATGTGTGCATGAGTTTACTTTTACTAAGATAATAAAACACTGCAGGATAGATAATGATTTCTTAAACAGAGTTGTTAAAATGTTCTGTGAAGTTCTTATGTGCAAATTTACTCTAGTAAAAATTCTCAATCTTTTCAGGTAATTATATGTCACGCTCTTTATTTGTAATGCAGTAATTTGTAGAAATAACTCTTCCCCAGGTTGCCTACCATTGTAAAATGCTAGGTTTTGATCCCTGTGGCTGGCCTTTGGCTTGGCATGAAGAAAGAGAAGATTAGCCAGAATTGCAAAGCTCCCACCTAAGTCTCTCAGTATTAAATAAGTCTTAAAGAATTGTTTCCCAGTGTGAAGCACAGATATCCAAAGATGCTTGACATTTATTTTTCTACAAGACCAGGCAAGCATTTAAGACCTTAGATGAGATTGCCTCGTTTAAGAATAGTACTCTACTGGGAAGTTCAAACATCCCATGCAATACAGTCAGAAAAATTTCTACTAATCTTATTCTGCCAGAACAACAGCAGGTGATAGATTGGGATAAATGCCTGCAGAGGCATACAGTGCTACTAATTTTAAACAATACAGGATCACAGTGTAGTTTGTTTTATAACTTTATAACCTAACAGTAGTTTTTGCACTTTTTAAAAATCAGTGACATAACTTTCTCACTTTTTTTAATGGTTTGAGTACTTCATTTACTAGCTATATCAAAATTAATTTCATTAATGTTTTATTACTAGGCATTGGCTATACTTTTAAAATTTAAATATCATCAAAATGTTACAGTGGAAAGCATTGAATGTGCACAGTATCTTATTGATTGCATTGTTTTTACCATATAAAATAATTTTTATTTAGGTTCCAAGCAGGAGAACAAGAAGATTGCTGGATAAAAGCCGAGCATTCCATATGACCTGCGGTGTTACTATCTGTATTTTCTCAGGTGAGAAAGCCAGGAGATACCAAGGATTTTGTGAGAATTATATATTTTTGTATGTTAAGTGTGTAACCTTATTGTTCTGTGTATTATCTGCTGCCATTAACTTGATGTTTAAATTTTATATCCTCGTTTATTCTCCTATGAGTTTAAAGAAGGTTGTTAGGGAACTTACATAAAATAAGTATACCTTATGTCTTTTTCTATTATAATGTCTAAAAGTTGGCTCCCCAGCCAGAAAGGTATTGTTTCCTGAAAGTGAATAATTTTATTTATAAAGATTGAGAGGAACATACTAGGTTTCCAAGTCTTCAAAGAAATGATAGTATATGAAGCTGGCCATGGTGCTGCATGCCTGTAATCCCACTCCCCAAGAGGTTGAGGTAGGAGGCTCGTAAGTTCAAGGTCAGCCTACGTTAAAATCCTGTGTCTAAATGAATGTTATGAGTTTAAATGCATTAAAGTTAGAACGTGAAATGTTCATTTAAAGGTGATGATTCCACTCCAAACATATTTGGGTTGTTTCTTTGATTTTAATACAAGGTGTGATTAAAAAATATGGTGAATGTTTAATTTAGAAAAATTGTTACACTAAAAGGCACATTCCTATGACCCCCTCCCCGGATTCCATTTGACTCCAAGCACGCTTGTCCCATCATCCTTGCTGCTTTCTGGAGCAGCTGTGAAAGTCCTTTTTGTGAAGCCCCAATTTAATTCAAAGTATTTCACGGTCATTCTGACTTCTGAGAAGAGCCACAAGTTACACAGTGCTGACCTATGAATAAGGTGGGTGAGGACACGCTGTAACGTTTTTATAAGCCTGCCTTTGGGCCTTCGGGCCTTTGGATGGCACTCAGCAGTACCATTCACTATATTTTTGACCTTACCAGATAAAAAACATGCCCAAAGACCTCCAGAACTCTTCAGAAAGTGACAAGTGTGTTTGAAGTGAGAGAGAGTATTACTGAGGCAGTTTAATGCAATGTGATTTTTTTTTGTCTTTTTTTGAGACAGGGTCTCTCTGTAGTTCAGGCTGACCTTGAGCTCACTTTTTAGCCCAGGCTGGCCTCAAACTCACAAGGATCCTCTTGCCTCAGCCTCCTGACTGTGATAAATTTTGAAATTTAAATATTTACCAAATATTTTGATTAGACTTTATACTTAAAAGAATAGATGTTAAAATTTGTGGAATTTTATACTGATTCAACTCAAGTTAAAGATATAAACTGAGATTCTTATTTTTTAGAGTCATTTTAAAGTAAAGATATATGCTGAGCATCTGTGTTGTTTTCAAGTTTTGGAAGCAGAAAAGAGTAACAGGGGTTCTGTGTGTGGACTCCGGAAACAGGCTCCTGGGTTCTCTCTCCAGCTGCTCTCCTGCCTTGCTTTATGGCCTCACCTCACAGATCCTCATTTTGTTGTTTGTTTTGAACTATGAGATGGATTGACAGTGGCATCCACCTCTTGATTTTCAGGCTAAAATGAAAACATTGATATGAAGTTCTTAGAACTGAATTATGGTTTATACTCTCAGAAGTGGGTTATCTCAGTGTCATTCTACCTGGCCTTTCCATTTGATCATTATGTGATGAAGCATAAATGTTTAACAATAAGGACATTTTCATTGGGTATTTATGTATGGCCATTTTGACATGAGTGTTTTCATATTTAAAAAAATCCTAAGTTTTCAAAAAATTACCAAACATGGTTTTATCAGATGTCTTCCCCGTTTCATCCCTGAACATCTCCCATCTGTAGCCCCACCGCAGAGGTGATAGACAGGGAGGGAGGGTCCCCGTCGATTACCTCCAGTGCATCTCCCGGCTAGAGGTAAAGTAGGGGCCCAATAGGAGATGCAGAACTGGGCTTCAGTAAAGGTTAGGGCTGGAAAGAATGAAAAGTCAGAAATGGAGGAGGATAAGGAAAACTTGTCATATATATTACTTGATTTGTTTTAAACTTGTGTGTCCAAATATTCTAGTTGAATTAGCTAACAACTGAGAGACTGAGATGCTATAGAGCATCACTGTAGCTAAGCATACATTTTGCTGTGCATGGGTGGTCTGAATTGACTAAGTTATCTCCTTTACCTTAGGTTTCCTATCTGCAAAGCAGAGATGATCCTACCTAGTTCACTGTTTTGCTGTGAGAATTAAGTGAGAACATTCATGCAAAGTACTTGCATAGATCCCTCCTAGCTGCCTAAAATTAGAAACTGTGACTTCTTTTAGCCTACAAGTCTTTTAAAGAAAGTGGATATCCCTGAAGAATGTGTCTCATTGGTTCTTACTCATGAGTCCCCAACCACACACATACACACACACACACACACACACACACACACACACACCCCGAGAAGTCAGAATTGCAGTCCTTCAAGGGAGGCTTTTGCATTTTTGAGCCATAAAATATGTAGTTAGCATAAAAACTTTTAATTCAAAATGACAGGATTATTTACTTTTTGAGTATAAATTTAGATTTCAGTATTGGTGAAGGTGTAGTACAGAATTCTCTTTCTTTCCCTTTCCCTGCCCTCCCCTTTCTCTCTTTCTCTCTTTCTTTCTTGCCTTTGTTCCTTTCCTCTTTTTTTTCCTCTTCCTTCCTTCCTTCCTTCCTTTGTTCCTCCCTCCCTCCCTCCCTCCCTCCCTTCCTCCCGTCTTTTTTCTTTCTTTCATTCTCGTGTTATGCTTTGTGTCTGGATGTCTCCTCAAAGCCTCTTGCAGTCATAGATGGGGCTTTTTCAGAGATGACTGCATCTAGAGTGTGTGACTGATTCATGGTGCAATGCTAAGATTAAGGGTGCTAGGATTAAAGGTGTGTGATTACTGAATCAGTCCACTGATGGGACTGGCACTTGCCCTAAGCCCAGTAGCCCAGATAGAATATAAAAGGGGAGGAAAGAAATTGCTAAAGCCACCTGGACTTGCTTCTTTGCGACTGTCTCTTTTGCTGTCTTCTACCTGCATGAACTGTTTCTCCTCTGTGATGCTGTGTGCCCATGCATCCCTGCCTTGGAGCCAGCCAATTATGGACTGACACCTCTGCAGACTGTGAGCTAAATAAACCTTTCCTCATTCAAGTTTGGATGTCAGGCATTTTGTCTCAGCTATAAGGACAGTAACTAAGACAATAGGAATAAGAAAAGTTTGCTTGGAAAGTTAGAAGGAAGATAGGAAAAGACTCCAGCCTAGGTAGCTGTCAGGGCCACACTTCGATAGGGTCCAGACTGGCCTGCCAGGAAAGCTAGGAGGCCAGCTTGTAAAGAATAGCTGGTGAGCTGGGTCCCACTGACCGTTATCTCAGTCCAGGAGTCATAGTTCTGGGGTTTTTACGGCTAAGGGCTAATGTTGCCCCGGGGAAAACATTGTCTGGTTTCTGTCTCTCTCTGTGTTGGTCTCAGTCATGTGGTCTCAGAAAGGCTCTGCCTCTGCTGGAATCTAGGTGATCAAAAGCTCAGGACAATGGCTGGAGACTTCTGGGTGTAGCTGAATGACTCTGTACACCTCTTATCTTGGCGTCCTGCATACCAAAGGAGAGAGAGATCATGTAAATATAGAGCTAATCGCCCTTGTCTGGCCACCTGCACTGACACTCCCGGAGTGATCAGCATATCCCCTTCTAGAGCCGAGCCAGGATTTATAGTAAGAAAGGATATAAAGGTTAAGCTTTGTTTTGCTTTTAGTTGTGGGTATTGGGCATCTATAGGCCCAACTGAAGAGTCATGGTTCATGGCAACATATGGCATAAGTCCCTGACATAAGTCCCTGACTGTCCCAGAATAAAATGCAAATCATGCTCTTAATAAGTAGCAGGCAAGGGCCCAGGGTTCTTCCTCATTCCCACTGACAGATTTGTTGTCCTTAATCTGAAGGAAGAAGGGATCAAAGCTCTCTCTCTCTCATTATTAACTATTTTTCTTTCTGGTTATAGTTCTATGTTGGGTGTTGAAGCCTGAGCAGGTAATGAAAATTAACCTCCTTCTACTGTTAAGGTATCATACAGAGTGTTTTTTACTGTCCTAAAATTCCTTTGTGCACTGCCTTTTCATTTCTCTGGTCTCTCTAATCCCTGGTAACCACTGATCATTTCATTGTCTCTATAATTTTGCCTTTTAAAGATTGTCATTTAATTGGAATCACACATAGCTTTTTATATTGTCTTTGTTCACTTGGTAATATGAATTTAAGCTCCTCCCACATATTCTAATGATTGACTACTCATGTCCTTAAATATTGAATAATATTCCATTGTTTGGATCTACTGCACTTTGTCCATTCACCACTGAAGAATATCTTGATTATTTCCAGTTTTTGCTAATTATAAATAAAGTAGCTATAAAAATCTGTGGGTTTTTTGTGGTTGTAAGTTTTAAAAATTCTTTTGGGTAAGTTCGAGGGAATGCTATTGCTGGATTGTGTGGTAAGAGTATGATAAATATACTACTTTTCAAAGAGCCTGTGATGGGCTGGGGATTTAGCTCAGCAGCACAACGCCTGCCTGGCAAGCGCAAGTTCGTGAGTTCGATTCCCGGTACCACAAAACACACACACACACTCAAAGAAAAAAACAAAGAGCCTGTGATATTTTTTAAAATTTTAAACAGAAAAAAGTAAGAAATAAATAACAATAAACAGAGTTTCAAACCAGACTAGTAGGAGAGTAGCAACAATCAACACATTGCATACTGTTATATTCACAGTAGCTGTTCAGAGTACAAGATATAGGCATGAAACATTGTCCAGAAAATTGCTAGCACAAAACTTTCCCCTCAGTGAGCCAAGAGAAACCAGCCTTATAACTATCTTAACTATCTTGTGTGTGTGTATATATACATATTTTCCCTTTTTCCTTCCTTTCTTTTTCCTAGCTCCCATCACAGTTTTTCTTTCTTTTTGAACAATTTGCAATATCTGTTGTAAATTTTGGATCTTGTTTACTCTTTCAGATTCTCATAATAGTGAGATAATACAATATTTACACATGTGGGTCTGGTTTATTTCACTTAT